GTGGGATCTGAACCAAATGCCTTCAATGAGCTAGCCGACGGAGACTGCTTGGCGGCTTGGCCAGCTTCCAATAAACTGAACAAGTCTTCTTATAGTATTTGTAGAATTTGAAACAACCAGAAAGACTTTCGTTCCTTGGGCGCGGCAATGCCCCACCAAGGCACGTCTGACGTACCATTTTTTATAATATAATTGCATATTATACGACGAAATAAATCCATAACCGTCAAAATTATCTGAAGTTTAATGCACGTTAAATTTGTTAAATAAATTGTACAAAAAATAAGGCACTAAAAATCGATACTTTAAAATCATAACTTTATCATATCATCATCTCCCCTACCTCATCCTGCTCATGTAGAGTCGCACCAGGTCTTCGTTTATAATTTTGTCTTATAAATACTATATTTTATATGAAAGTTAGTATGTAAGAGACCAGGCTTCGGTGGTTAGTGAAAGCGAGTCAATGTTACATTTTCTTAACGCGATGAGGGTAGAATTACTTTTCACTCTCGCACGAGAAAGTTAACTATGACAACTAATAAAAGTTCATTATTTATCTCTGCAGGCTGATACTCAAGTCGAGTTATCATTTTTACTAAAGTCATTAACCAAATTGAATCGTTTAAACAATGTTCGGGATATCTTATTCTAGTCATGCCACAAAGAAGGTTTATGGTAGTTTTTTCATATATTACATTGTCTAAGGAAATCTAAACAGTAGTACGCTTAATTCATTGGTTTTCGTTTATTTACAATGTTTTTGAAGCTTTTAGCTCTACAGCGCATTGGGGCATTAGCTCTAACAAAGTTCACAAAAATCGTACACAACTGGTGTAAGTTCAGTTTAAAAATATAACCAGATTACGGCAGCTGTACGAGGTCGTGAACTCATAGCTACCGTCTGGATCGATAGCAACGGTAACGAGCCCCTTAGAGACCGTATCTCGTCTCCACAATGTCAAGTTTAACTTTACGCCTCGCCGGGCCCAGCCACAATGAACCCGGAAACCGTTTAAATGTACATTACTTCTTATTGTTGTGATACAATGAGGTAAATCACTGCTTAATAGATGTAAGGTTCAACGTTAAAGAAAATATAATACTAAAACAATAATTAAGCGACTGTAGGTACGAATAACTAATATTATAAATGCGAAAGTTTAGATGGATGGATGGATGTTTGTTAGCGTTTGTAGCCTAAACGGCTGAACGGATCTCCATGAAATTTGACACAGGTTTAGAGCATAGTCTGGAAGAACATATAGGCTACTTTTTATCCCGGGATAAGTTACGGTTCCCTTGGGATTCATTAGTTTAGTTTTTTAATGTTTACTCGATCATTCTGCAACGGTTCAACATATCTTATTGAAATTTGGCACAGATGTAAAACAAAGTCTGGAGTATATATGGGATAAGCTTCATCCCCGAGGTGTCAAGTTCCCGAGGGATACGTAGCTTTTTGTTATTTATATAGTTCGTATGTTTTCTAAAATCACGCGGAGGAAGTCGCGGGCAACAGCTCATTCTTAATAAAACAAATGGTAGTTTAACTTACATCAACAGGCTGTCATTATCATAAAAACAACGAAAACAATCTTAAGCGATCATTCCCACATAGTATATGAGTATTCGAATCTGAACAACGATCAACACGACCATACTAGGAGAACCACCCACATCTGTGCCTTATACGGCGATACGAGACGTGAAACATAATGCTGGCATTCCGTGACCTTGCAGGTCTTTAATAGCAACCACGTAATTTTATAAGGGGAATCTAAGCTAAGCAAGTATTTATTACTGATGCAAGTATGATACATTTTATTTAAAGGGTTCTTTATTTTGATGTTAGTCGAGATCAATTACTACCGACATATTTTCTGAACCATATTCAAATATTTTTTTACGCAAAGGTCATGACAAATGACAGGTTCTATTTTATATATCCTCGAAAATTACGAAGTTTCCTATTACGTAATATGCTTTTTAATTTATTTTTATTTGTTTTTAATACGACAACTTCCTGAGTAAAAATGTTATAAATCTTTTTTCATCACTACAAAGCTATGTTAACTTATTCCGACTTGTAAATTATCTGTATATTGTATGTAGGTATATTGTTCTTACTGAACAAGGCAAGGTTACGGAGTCATTATTTTTGTTTGTGACAATATCAATGTATAAAGCCTTCTTTGCGGAAATGAGTCATATCTTTTTAAATCTGTATTCGTTTTGCCGTGAGAATACTTTTTTGTGTGTTGTCTAAAGCGCCAATATACAGCTTTTTTATTATATTTTGTGATTCTTATATTATTTTTAATTATACATTTTATTTCTAAAAATACTAATTTAATTAAAATTATAAGAAATTATTTATTTTTTTCTGCAATATTTAACGGACTTAAATTATGGGTTATTTTAAAAGTTGCGAGCGAAGACCAACAAATTCCAATACTATTGGACCAATAAAATGTAATGTACGGATAATTTTATTTACTGACCATGTCAGAGTTGTGATCGAAACTTACCGGCTTCAGGGTAACTTTTTACAGGGACAAGGATAGCTTGAACAATACGACAAAACGCGTATAAAAACTTGCCTCAATAAGTCCGGTTAAGTTGTATCAATAAGAAAAGAAGCATGATAATTTTATTAAACGTACAGTCGTGGAAATCCGCGGTGTTGCACTTACAGAGAACTTGTCTTGTTCTTTGCTACGAGATAAATCTCAACCAAGAAGATGTACAATTTACTTTAGAAAGATCTACTAAAAGAGACGGAATAATAAAAAAAAATGGTTCAAAATAACAAAAGCCGTTTATCATTATTTCGTATAGATACATTTAAAAGCTGCGTCCTATTGTATATTGTTCCAGGTCGTCATCTCAATGCCTGCAAAATGTTTATTTATTTATTTTTTTGCACAAAAAGTTCCTAAACATGTACTTAAAAGCTAAGACGAGAATTGCGCAATGTTCAAATGACTATAGCTTTTAAAGTGGAACACTGGTAGATTCCGCAATTGTAGGAGAGCAAAGATTGTAACTGTCATAGAGTTGGCACTTTGGACATAAGAGTACTCATGTTTCTGATGTGCCAAGTTAAATGGCAGATATATGTAGATAATGAGAAATAAAAATAAAAACACATTATATGTTTCTAACTTTCGAGAGTAATTCTTTAGACAAACGTTTTTAGTATGTTTTGTTTACAATGAATATAGTTAACTCATCATGCATCATATACTGGGCGAAAACGATACTTTACAAGTTTGATAAGATAATGTTATCAGCAGTTGTTAGTAAAGTTGTAGAGAATGTAGTGTTGATTATGATAAGCAACTCAAATACTAGCAATAGATAAATTTCTAATACTTTAAACTTGGTCTTATTGACCAAACTGTTGCATACATTATCCATGCTTTCGGAATTTATAGGATTATTTTCTTTGTGCCAGTCTTTTAGATTTAAGCAAAAATAAATAATTTCGTATTAATTTTACAGGTGACATATCGCAATACATTTACAGAAATAAAAAATTAAATTAGGAAATAAAAAAATAGATAATTTTTCTCCTGCAAATTTTATCCACAACACTATCACATTAATATTATAAATGCGAAAGTTTAGATGGATAGATGTTTGTTAGAGTTTGTAGCCTAAATGGATGAACGGATTTCAAAGCAACTTAATATAGACGTAAAGGATAGTCTGGAACAACACATTAGCTACTTTTGTTTTATTTTTTTTAATTCTACGCGGACGGAGTCGCGGGCGAAAGCTAGTAAGTTATAAAAACATATCAGTTAAAGTATAATAAATGAAGCAATGCTCTTATATGTCACAACAGATAACAAAGAGCTTACCGATGCAGTGTGGTAACATTTATTTGTGATTCATACAGAAAGGAGGTCAGAGATAGTTTTAGTTGAGATGAGGTGACGAGCAACACACTATGTAATATTGTCGAGGTCTTTGTGTTCAAATTAAATAAAATATTTCATATTAATAAATAAGATTTTGTAGAAGTATAAAATAAAATAAAACTGAATTAAGTATGCTGAGATAATGAATTACTGTTTTTAAGGTTTTTCTATTTTTTTTTAAAAGAAGAAGTTATTTATTTACATTTATATAAATGTAACTCAAAATTTTACATACTACACAAAATATGCAAAAGATTGTAAAGTAGTACTGAAAGTAATATTGATATTGCTTTGTAAGAAATGTATATGAATGCCTACACATTCTGAGTCATATATTACACAAATGTTTGTTCTGATCTGTTGGGGAATGTAATGGCTCATTCATAGTTTTTTGCTAGAAGCAAATTATAATACAAATAGTTGGCTCTAAACAATCTTGTACTATTCTAGCTTTTGTAGTAAGAGTTATTTTGTGGAAATAATTATTAATCATCTACACTATAAAAAGGAAAAAAAAAATCTTGTATGTATTGAAAATCTTGGCGATTTCAAAAATTCTTTCTTCAGTAAAAAATTACATTATCACTGAGTAGCATAGTCTATATTTTTTTACAATTTTTAATTTCGCATGGACAAATGGATAATATTGAAACATTTGATTACAATTATTATTTATAGCTACTATTAAATAAAAAAATTACAGTATCAAGACTTCAAATCTTAAGAGTTGTATAAATACGCTATAATATAAGAAAAATACACAGTGAAACTTATAGTTAGTAGTACATTTAAGGGCCTTACTTATAATACTTTGTTCGCATCAACAATCAACAACGTGATTCATAATGGATTGAAAGAAAATAAGGTTTAATAATCGCCGTTATTTTATGTTTCTCTTCTTTGTAGCAAGACAGCTGATTAAACAATGAAGTTCCCACACAATGAAGAAAAATTACGAGACCAAATTAAAGCCGCGATAATAAGGTTAATGCACGGTAGTATAGTTCAGATATTATTCATAAGTGCTTTCTAACACTACCAGTATACCCTGATTCATGACAATTTACTTACCAGCAGTTGAGTTTCTTTATCGCATATAAATCCGATTGCTTGGATCGTGCGATCACCATCTCTTCCGTAAGCCGAGCCATTGTAATGCACAAATCACTGCAAGCACTCTGTGCAAATTTTTAAATGTTTTAAACACAATACACACAAGGAATTAGATTTTAGCAAAGTTGTTACGGATCATTCTGTTTTATGTCAAGAAAAGAAAAGAAAATTATCGAGACAACCGACACCACCACAGCTCGAGCGAAGAGAAAAACTAAATCTGTCAAAAATGAACAAAACAAATTGAAAACTGAAGATAAAAAACAAAGATATACCATTGTTCTTATGTTATCTGTATAAGATTTGCAAAGAAAAACGGAACGCTACAACGGCTGCATATTAATTTTTGAAATAATTTATGTTTACATTGGAAGTGCATGTAATAAGTTTTTGTTTTTAAGTATTTGCAATACAGCCCTTCAATTAACCCTGATTTGTATACCCTATAGCACTGGAATTACGGTACCAAAAATACTATTTTCACACATTTTTGAAAAATGGAATTTCCCTATTTGACATTTCGATTACGACATTGACATTGAAGTAGACGTTGACATTTACATTTTTAGTTCTTCATGTATTTTGTTATGTTTTGAATAATTCCAATTATTATATTAAAACACAAAAATGGATTCTAATGAGATCCTCGATGATAAGGATAGCGGACCTGAAGTTCAAATGAATTTTCCCAGTTCAGTTATGAGTCGAATCGAGGAATTGATGGGAGGAACTGAACAATTTGATAGTGACGAAGTGAGTTGCACATTAAATTGAATTTTAATTAATTAATACTAATAAAATAACATCTTTGAAATCGAATGTGGACCTTTAATATTCAACCCACAGTTTGATGCAGTGGCATATATAAACCGAGTTTTTCCGACTGAACAATCGCTATCTGGTGTGGAGACAGCGGCTGCGCGCTGTGAGTTCCGCCTTGCGTCGGTGCAGCATGATATACAGCGGCTAGTCCGGGAGCAGGCTGCACAGCGGGATGCTGGCCAACAAGCTCTGCTTGAAGCTCAGCGATGTATTGGTGAATTATCATTGCAGGTAATTTTATTACATTGTAGCACTAATTGCAAAATGACCATCAAATTAAGGTACTATTTACCTTACACTAATAGAGTATGATTGGATCAATACATAAATATTTCAGGTGACAGAAATCAACAAGAAAGCAGAACGCAGTGAGAGCATGGTCCGTGAGATCACTGCAGAGATCAAGCAATTGGATTGTGCCAAGTGGAATCTGACGGCAGCCATTACAGCTCTCAATCATCTACATATGTTGACTGGAGGAGCAGCGACATTACGTGGCTTAGCACAGAGACGACAGTACAAGGAGTTGGTGTTGCCATTGCAAGCTATTATGGAGGTAGAGAAAATATTTCAATTTTTTTTATTTACGCTATGGTAGCAGTGAAATCATTTTCATCCATTTACTATATGTTTTTTTTAATAATCTTGGTGTTGAATGTTTTATTTATAGGTGCTCCAACATTTTGAATCATATAAAGATATCCGTGAACTAAATGCACTGCGGGATGAGGTGCATACTATTCGAGCTCAATTAGCAACACAAATACTTGCAGATTTTAAAGATGCATTTACAGGTGAATAAAAAATGTTCTAATCCTATCTTTCTTATACCTTATTGCTTTCACTCTACTTTTCTCTGTACTCTAAAATATAATATTATATCAGGTAGCAAGAGTGGTGTGTCTCAAAGGACTCTAGCAGAGGCTTGTGGTGTGGTTGATGCACTGGACCCTAAAGTGAAAAAAGAACTGCTTAACTGGTTCATTTCTATGCAACTACAGGTAAGTTATTGTGCTTATCCCACCTTGCTTAATTTTCTGTTTGCTTTGAAAGCTGAGCCCCTTTATTTAAGGCAATACGAATCTGCGATTTTACTCTCTGAATAGTTTAAGCAATTTAGTTTAAGTAATATTTAAGTCTGCGTCTTGTATCTGAGTATGAACATCTATGAGATTATAATGTGTAAGTTCATTAGTGACAGTAATCACAGATTTTCGTAGTCTTGTGTACTAAAGGGCAAAATATTATGCATATTTACCTATTTATTTCAAACCTATGGCATTTTAGGAGTATCAGCATTTATTCTCAGCGGAGCAAGAGTGTGCCTGGCTGTCCCACATAGAGCGCCGCTATGCTTGGCTCAAGAAGCACCTTCTCAGCTTTGAGGAGTCTCTGGGAACCGTCTTTCCTCATCCCTGGCTGCTTAGTGAGATGATTGCGAAACAATTTTGTAAGGTATGTGAGGAATTTCGAAGAAACAATTTTACGTTTCCCCATTGTGGACTCTTAACTACGACTCTCCAGTTATTTTATAATTATTTTAGTACCGCGTGTCTACTTCCCCCACTAAATCTACTTTACAGACCTGTCTTAGTAAGAATTGATAAAAGGTTTTAAATCTTCAGATAACACGATCAGAGCTTACGAATATAATGTCATCACGACGTAATGAAGTTGACGTAAAATTACTACTATACGCGATACAAAAAACTTACAACTTCGAAGTGTTGCTGCATAAACGATTTGTTGGTAAGTATATTTAACTAGCTTTCGCCAGCGACTCCGTCCGCGTGGAATTAACAGCCTATTTGTTCTTCCAGACTATCCTCCACATCTATAAGAAATTTCATTGAAATCCGTTTAGCCGTTTAGATTACTAACTCTAACAAACATCCATCTAAACTTTCGTATTTATAATATTAGTAAGATTAATGACGGTCTTTTAAAGCTAAAATGTCATTGTAGGGATTCATATTCTTATTTGAAACCTATGGCATTTTGTGAGTAGCACCGGCACTTATTCTCAGAGGAACAGTGGCCTGGCTGTTGTACATTATTTAAGATGCAATTATTCCAAAAAGGTTTTACATTTTTAGCTCATTTTAAGCAAGCTGCAATTGTTTCAGGTACTGATTTTACAGGTACAGAGAATATAGAAACTAATTCAGATAAACAACCACCCTTTGAAGATAATAAAGAGGTAATTTATATTGAAAAGTTATACTCTTAAGTTGTAATTTTATTAATTAAAAAACATTTTAATTCCAGGGTCAAACGGAGGAGGTACCAGCGAATGGGTCGCCATGGGTGGGTTTGATCGGTGGCTGCTTTGAGCCGTACCTATCGCTGTACATTACCAGCCTCGACACAAGTCTGCGCTCCTTAATGGACACTTTTATTCAGGTTTTCTTAAATATTACGATTACCTTAATTTTATTCTAAGGTTTTACTGATTGCAGGGAGAATTGCTAAGATTGAATTTTAGCAGTGGCAACACTTATCATTATTTTTCTGTCTATATCTATATGGGTTGGCTCACTAGGTTTATATGCCAACATTTATTTGAGATTTTTCAAACTTTACCAATCTTATTAATTATAAATAATATATATCTTATTAATTATAAAGCGAAGAGCTTCGACCAACACCTCAAGAAGCTCTCGCTAGACAGTTGGACTAAGGGCCCGATTCAAAAGGCGGTTATTTTAGAAACCGCACGAATAGTGAGGAGGTTCCTGTCTCTGCAGCTCTGACCACTGGTTGCTTGAGCTCTATTTTTTATATAATATATTTTATTTTAATTTTTATATTCTTGTAAAATGTATTATATAGAGAGTAAGAAATAAAGATATATGGATAAATAATATAAATATGAAGTTTAGATGAACGGATCTATTGTAGAAGGTATGCAACTTTGTTACGGTTTAACGGTCTTCGATGAAAATTTTCACAGATAGTCTAGAAGAACCCCTAAGCTACTTAGTATTTTTTTCGTCAAACGTAGGCGGATTTCTCAATTTCAAATAAATGACTTTTGATTGTATAGGATGCGAAATCATCAGACACTGGCAGCACTGGCAGCACTGGCAGCACTGTGAACACTAGCGGCGCTGTGATCGCGAGCTGCGCGGACCTGTTCCTCTTCTACAAGAAGTGCTTGGTGCAGTGCGCCCGACTCACCACCGGAGAACCTATGTTAGGTATGAGTTTATACTAAAAGGTAAATAAAAAAAATAGGCAATATGCACATGACGCCAAAGTGGAGAAATCTTTTTGTGTGTTTGTGTATGTACCTTGTATTTTCCTACAGATCTATACAGCCGTTCATACAAAATTTTGTTTTAATAAAATATTAGTAGATTTTTTTTGTTAATATACTAATATTTCTTGTAACCATTCCAGGTAAGCTTGTGTTTACGGTTAACAATAGTCGAATTTCGGAAAGTCGGAATTCGAAACCACGATGATATCGCGTATCCCGAGCAAGCTAGTGGCGTTTCGCAAACTTTCGTATCTCACATTACAAAATATTTAATAACAATAGAAAATTGTTTTTAAACAACCAGAACTGGCGGGCGTATTCCAAAAGTATCTACGCGAGTACGCGGGCAGCGTGCTGCAGGCCGCCCTGCCGCGCGCCGCGCCCGCGCTCTCCCTGGGCGCGCTCGGCGCCGCCAACATGCCCAGCCTGGTCACCAACCTGCACACGCTGCTGCGCGACGAGACCACCACCAGGTATGTGCTACACGACCTGCTTTAATACACAATAAACATACCCTTAGTTAACTATCAACAGGAGGAGGGGCAGAGAACCAATATATTTGAAACCAGCCCGTGACAACATCCATGTGGAATTAAACTTATTAAATATATGTGTGATCTTCCAGATGTTCTACATCTGTGCCAAATTACATCTAAATCCGTTGAGTCGTTTCGGCTATAAATTCTAAGAAATGTTCATCCATGCAGCTGAAGCTTCGTATTTATAACGCATTATAATTTTTTTTAATGTAAGAGTGTAGTTCTCTTCCATTGGTCACAAATATAATATTGAAAAAAATTTAAATATGTAACATCTCTCTTTCTCGCTTTCAAGCACCGCTAGTAATCAGTCAGATTATTAGCGGTGCTTGAAAGCCAAGTGTTTTAAATTAGTTTCAGTATTCTGCTGGGAGTGTATTAAAGCATTTAAAATAGTAAAATCTTAAAGCAACAACATTAATGTACTAAACTGTAACAGGTACACAAAGCAAGAGATATCGAAGATAACCAGTGTGATCACCACATCGGAGTACTGTTTAGAAACAACTGTACATCTGCAACAGAAATTAAAAGAGAAAGTGACTGCATCTCTTGCAGATAAAATAGACCTCGTACCAGAACAGGATTTATTCCATAAAATGATTAGTAACTGTATACAATTATTAGTACAAGATTTAGAATTAGCATGTGAACCGGCGTTACAAGCTATGACAAAAATCTCATGGTTACACTTTGATAACGTAGGCGACCAAAGTTCCTACGTAACTCAAATAATAATGCACCTAAAAAACACGATACCAAATTTAAGGGACAACTTATCGTCTTCTAGAAAATATTTCACACAATTTTGTATTAGATTTGCTAATTCATTTATACCTAAATTTATACAAAATGTGTACAAATGCAAACCTATTTCTACAGTCGGTTCTGAACAATTATTACTAGATACTCATATGTTAAAAACAGCATTATTAGAACTACCTTCTTTAGGATCTGATGTTAAAAGACAGGCACCAGCGACATATACAAAAGTTGTGATAAAACTTATGACTAAAGCCGAGATGATTTTAAAACTAGTTATGGCACCTTTGGATGGAAATCTCGAAGGTTTTGTCGCGCAATTCGTTCAACTTCTCCCTGAAAGTACTTTAGCAGAATTTCATAAAGTTTTAGATATGAAAGGTGCTAAGCTATCTAAAACTCAAATGAGTTCATTAGACACTAAGTTTAAAGATCTTACTAAATCTGTTAATAATGAAGGCAATAAATAGTGTTGCAATAATTTTTAAAAAATCTTTCTTATATCATTTATAATTTATTAAATTACATGGCTATCTTATTATATGTGTGTCGTTGTATTCATTGTAAGACATTGTTTTTAGCTAAATTTAATGTATTGTTTGTGGTATTTTCATTGATACATTTTGTAAGACTTTTTGTTAAACTAGAAAACTACTAAAGAGCATTATTTATTTATACTATAATGTTGGTTAAATTAAAATTAACCGAACTAAAGTATTACCATCATTCCAAAATGACAGCGTTTTTTTTTAAATTTATTACTAAGGTATATCTTAACTTGTATTAATACTTTGTATTTAAAAGCTTACTATGTTGTGTTATATGCTTAGACTATTGGATGGAAACCTTAATAGTTAAGTTTATATTAAGATGTATAAAATAGCTTTTATCTCGTCGCATTAAATGTTTACAAGAAATTTTGTTTAAATTAACCTAAATCAATTAAAACGAAGATAGGGTGTTGCCAAACTATTATTTTTTTATCATTTAAAATAGAAGTTTCGGAACAGGTGTGCAAAGAAATACTGTGCGAGTCCTGAGTCGAATGCAAAGATTTTTATGATGATCACTTATATGAATTACACTAATCTAAAAAAATCATACTTTGCTCTGTTTAGTTACAGCGTTTAATTTAAATCCCAACCCATAGTGTGAACTTGATCGTAAACAACACAGTATTGCCCTGTGTAACAAGCATATCAACATCACGTATCGGCGCCAATAATACCTTTTTATCGGTATAAATTAATGTTAATACTAATACTGCTATTTAGTAGGAGTACTGCTTTTTATCTAACTAAAGCAGTTGCAAAAGCATTAAAAAATCTTTCATGTTTTCCAACGTCCATTGACGATGTAATAAAAACCCAAAAGGGAGATAAGGCTGAATGAATTGTTTATGTTTGACTTTCCTGTTTAAAAAGTGGAACTGTAAACAACGAAACGTCAAAGTCAACTGTTCGCCGCTCCGGACGTGTAGTTTGTAGATTAATTTAAAAAAATTGTAAAATGCATTTTCCCCTTCGTAAATGTTATCATGTGATAAAAATAGGGACCTTATTAGTGATTATTGTAACAATTCTCACGCTATTCGAACAATGGCGTGGTGGTAAAAGAACAGCGCGCGCTCAGGATTTTGATGCACTTGAAGATGAATATGAAAAACAAGTTCTTGTCGATGAGGCTCGGATTATTCCTGGACTAGGAGAAGGTGGAGTAGCAGCGCGTCTAGTTGGTGAAGCTAAGCGTCTAGGAGAAGAGTCCGAGAAAGCACTAGCTATTAACGTATATTTAAGTGACCGGATCGCGTATAACAGAACTTTAAAAGGTAAGTTTTTATAGCGGTAACTTCTATAAGTAAGTCCAGTTAGACTAGTAATCACTGAAATTCAAACTCTATTAACATGAACGCTAAAATTCTTGTGTGATTTTTCAAGTGGTCAATTTATTTATTAAGTAAACTAACTGAAATTGGCAGTATATCTCAAATCTCAATTTTTCTGGCTAGTTCTTGAATTAGACTTAGGTCAAATATAGTATATAGTTAAGAGTTTAAAAATATAATCATTAATTTCTAAATCCTAACAAAGAAGCAGTATTAATATTGTGTGTATGTTTCTTAATTTAACATTTACATGTTTTTCACAAATTTAAAGAAATAAATGGGATACTGGTGTCTAATAAGAATTTGTATAAAAAAATGTAGTATTTAGTTTTTTATGTACAATAAATATTTCATTAGGTATTACCGTGAAATTAGTTTTCTGTATCAATTAAACCTTTATTAAACCTTGTGCTTATCAAAAATTACATACAACTGTAAACACTACTTGTATTTTCTTAATAGAATCATTACAGTGATTTTTTATTTATAAATTCTAGTTGTCGGCATGTTTAAAAATGTAACTATCCTGTCAATTATTTATCAGTTAAGCAGAGATAGCAAATCATTCCATTAAAGGAATCCTATTACATTTTTCCTTAAAACTGTTCAATATGCTTATGTATTCTTAGCTCCATTAATATTTTTAATATCAAGAGCCAATAGCCTAATGGTTTGGGATAAAGACTACCAATCTTGAGGTCAAGGGTTCGAATCCCGCCATTCGACTTGTTGTGTACCATATCCTATCACAAGCCCAGAGCTTAGTTGGAATAGTTAAAGAACATATTAGTAGATTAACAAAAATCTACTAATATTTTTATAAAAAACTAATATGTTATAGACTATCGTAATCCTGCATGTCGCCGAGTGCTCTACGATGCAGAGTTACCTTCTGCTTCGGTCATCATCATCTTCCACAATGAGCCATATTCCGTTGTGGTTAGAACAATATGGAGTGTAGTTAACAGTGTGCGACGGTCCCAACCATGGTACACACGTGCAAATTACCTGAATCGAGCTACCGGGAGGACTATGAACTTAGGCTAGTATTTTTATATACCAATTTACATTTTAATGAACGTAAATTAAGAAAATAATGTCATGGAATTTCATGATGTATCACACTATTTTATGGGCAAACATTAGAATATACTTAAAATCTGTAAAAAACTTTAATCATAAAGTTAATTTAATTTTGTAAAAAAAGATTCTACACATTTTCCAAAAATTCTAATTTGATTAAGTAAATTGAAAGAGTAAATCCAAACCATATCTCAAATTGGCCATCTCTTATTAAATCTATTGTTATAGCCATTTTCTGCAATCTATACTAATATGATGGAAAGATTTGTATTTTTGGTTTTTTGTATGTATTGTGATAACTCTAAAATTACTGGCCTTTTATCAAAAGTTCTTTCATCATTAAAAATCTATTTTGTCACTTTATAGGCAATTTTTTTATTTTATCGTTTCATGCAGACGCAAGATGCAAGTTGCAACCCAGCGCTAGTTGTGAATAAAATTGTACCAACTCTTATTAATTTCTATGTTCTAAAACAGGTTATCCTGGTCAAGATCCAAGTTCACCTTTTGTTTACTTGAAGGAAATAATACTGGTGGATGACAATTCTACGTTACCAGAGTTAAAAGGAAAGCTGAGCCATTACATACGCACTCGATTACCACCAGACTTGATACGTATTTTAAGATTACCGGATCGGTATGTATTTTTTTTAAAGAAATACTTAAGATTGTTATAAAAAATTTCAATGTTCACATTTTTAATCAATAGAAATGCAACATAACTAAAAGTATTTCTGCCTACAAATCTGTTCATTATCACGTTGTATGAATTAAACAACATACTAAGTTGAGATAACGAACGTAAAATCTGCAGGCAGCGGCTTGTTTTGTAAAATAGGTTATTGGAAAAATTGTTCTACACTTGTGATTTAAATTACTATAAAAAGAACCTCCATTTTCACCGTAAACCAAGGGCCCACAGAGTAACTATTTAAATAGCTTACGCGTCTAATATATAAAGCATTTTAGTGAAAATTGTAATTTATTTCACCAAACTTAGTGTGGGTTTGGTACAAGCAAGACAGGCGGGAAGTCAAGAGGCGAAAGCCGATGTCCTGGTCTTTTTAGACTCACATTGCGAAGCTAATGAAGACTGGCTTAGGCCGTTGCTACAGCGGTTAAAGAATGTTCGAACAGCTGTAGTTACGCCCATCATTGATATGCTGGAAACAGATACTCTGGAATATCAACCTGGCAATACGGAGTTTGAGGTGACTAGGTTTGAATGTAGAATGACGTGATAGTATAGGAAAGTCAGTAGACTAACTTACAAGATAATAATTATCATAAGTATTTTTGCGGTTTACGAATGAAGTCTATACATTTTACTCGAAATTGTCTTCTAGTGGGGTACTTCTTTTTTATTTTATTTTCATTTTTAAGTAAATAGACTAGCTCAGTTTAATCAGCTGTGTCATTTCACAACTAAAACAATATATTTTTAACATTGACTTACTAATTTATATCGCGTTTGCATACAAAATGCGATACATTTGTGTAATAACACTTGGGTCTACAAGAAAATGATACAGTCTTTATACAGAGAATTTTATGTCACCTTGGAAGCCAATGAAACGTCTTTCAAAAGTTTTATGTAATTATGATAAACTAAATATTACTTTAAAAGTCCCTAATATGTGTTGTCAAAAAAAATACAAAAAACCATATATTTCAAACAACAAAAAAAAAATTGAAAAAAAAGAACAAAAGACTATAATTATACTATCAAAACGTTTATTCATTATGTCGTTAATGAAGACAGTATTCCAATGGAAGTTTCTTGTATAGTGTCGGTCTAACTCGAGCGCGGCTGGCGGGCGCGAGGTTCGCGACAGGCGATGTGCTAGTATTCCTGGACGCGCATTGCGAGAGCCAGGCGGACTGGCTGCGGCCGCTGCTGCAGCGCGTCAAGCAGTCCCCCACCAGCGTGGTGGTGCCCATCATCGACGTCATCGAGTCGGGCAACTTCTTCTATAGTGTGCAAGACCCGCAGGCGTTTCAGGTGCGGGTTTCATATAGGGAATGTAACAACTATTTTTTTGGATTACAAAAAAATAGTACGTAGAAGCACTCCCCTACGAATATTGCTTTTTTTCACATAGTTGTAGTTGTTCAATAATGGCAAGAATTAAGAAGTAAATATTATTTGCAAATTTCGTATATTCTAAATTAAAATTAACTTGGACAGAAATGGACATAAGTGTACATTTTTCTATTTTAAAGTAGTTCTATGGTTACTACAGTAAAGTCTTATTTTAGTTTGTCGTATTATATAATGTAGATTTCGCCCGCGACTCCGTCCGCGCAGAATTAAAAAAACAAAACTGCGTAGGCTGTGTGCTTCCAGACTATCTTCTACATCGAAGCCAAACTTCATCGAAATCTGTTCAGCCGTATAGGCTACAGACTAACAAACATCCATCCATCTAAACTTTCGCATTTATATTATTAGTATGATTAAGGGACTCTTAAAACATTTAAATCTTGTGTGCTAGTATTTTCTTTAATATTAGTAGATTTTTGTTAATTTACTAATAGTTTCTTTAATCATTATAACTAAGCTATAGGCTTGTGCTAGGATATCGTTCACGACGATAGTCGAATGGCGGGATTCGAACCCTCGACCGCATGATCGGTAGTCCGTTTCCCAAACCATTATGCTATTAGCGCTTAATGACTGTGATCGAAGAAATAGTTGTTACAATAGTGGCAGTGTTGTGTTCACGTGTTAACCTATCACCCGCTCCGCCACGCTTGCACATGTCACGTTTCTCACATTTTTGTTACTATTTGTTTCTTTCGGTCAATTGTTTTCAGTTCGCCTTCCGTTCGTTTTGTGTCGTTGTTTTATTGGGCCTGGATGTTTTTGCTTTCTATATGTTTGTGTTATTTCTTGTGTGCATTTTTTGTAAATAACTAATTTAAATGCTATTCTCATGTATAGAAAATTTTCATAAGTAACTATTGTTTTTAAAAAAATGCTAGGTTGATTTTTTAGGTTTCAATCCGTTTATTAAATTATAATAAAAAAATTAGTAAATACAACATACTGTTACATATAAATTTTCAATAATGGAAGGTCAGAAGATTTGTTTATTGAAGTCAAATTGATCTAAAGATAAGATATCTGAATGTATAGACATTCGCAGGCAGGGTCTGATGCGCGCGCGTATGACGGGCGCTCGAGCGGCGCGGGGGGACGTGCTTGTATTCCTCGACGCGCACTGCGAGGCGGGCTCCGATTGGCTGCGGCCCCTACTACAAAGGATCCGACACAAGAGGGACGCGGTGTTGACGCCACTGATCGATGTCCTCGATCAGACTACGTTTCAGCTGGACGCCGCTGAACATTTCCAGGTGTAGCAATGTATGCGCCTGCGCTTCTGTCGTGTCCGTATTCGGCTCAAATTGGATAAAATGTTGTCGCAAATTGAATGAAATCCGCATGAGACTAACGGCTTATTAACTTGAAAGTAGATTTTTGGTTAAAATATAAAAACGGTGTAGGGGAATTCGCTCGACTTTAATTGCAATGTTGAAATAAAGAAAAAAGAACTAATTATAGATTCTTATTGTTTCAGCTGAGAAAATAATTGTTACGATACGACCTAATTCTCATTGTAACGTGACATTTGCGTAGAATTCGATATGCCCCTTGTTTTATTCGATTCTCGTATGTTTTAAACTAAAAATTTAATGAATTAAAACACAAGATCGTATAAAAGTGGGTTATAGGGAAACAGCGAACATTGGAAATCAAATATTTTGTTTTAGGTTTTGTATCCGTTAATATCTTCTTAGTGGAAACTTCAAATTAAAGTTCAAATTCAAATTCAAAACCAAAGTAAGGGGGATAATTTACAAGGCCGTCGTAAGACCTGTCATGATGTGTGGATCTGAATGATGGGCAGTAAAAGGGACGGATGAAAGGAGACTACATGTGGCAGAAATGAGAATGTTAAGATGGTTGTGTGGTAACATGAATGGATAAGATACGAAATGAGTATATTACTGGAAGTATGAGAGTCCCAGTGGTAGAGAGGTAAGGATAAAAGGTTAGCATGGTAAGGGGAATGTTTTGAGGAGAGATGAATCGCATGTTACAAGGAGAACGTTAGTTATGAGTGTGGTGGTACACCGGTAGAGGTAGATCTAGAAAGAGATGTATGGATTGCGTGAAAGGTGACATGATCAAAAAGGAATTGATGACGTATGATAGAGTTATTTGGAGAACAAAAACCTGTTGCGCTGACCCTACGGGAGTAGGATAATGAGCATGATGATGATAATGATGATGGATGTAATGAAACTTGTAAAAATCGTTCTTCAATTATATAACCTCTTGTACATTTTAATTCTTTTTCTTTCAATTCTTTCTCTACTCACCTCTTAGTTTTTGTAGTTCGCCATTGTAGTGTAATTTGTTATTTATAGTTTGATTGGCACTTTGTAGATTAGCTTATGATTATGTTGTTTTTAACCTAACACATGTTTTGCACACATAAACTTTGGATATTGACTAATTATGTCTAGATTTCTGGTATTACGGATTAATATTACATTGTAAAGTAATTTTTAATAAGGTTTTTGGAAACTCAATGTAACTTTCTTATGCGTTATTGTAAATAACATATCAAGATGTTTAACTTCCCAAATTGCACTTTTTTTTTAATTCCTGGCACCTAGCACTAACTGCCACTTTCTAAGATTGGCGTGAAGTAGATTTACTAAGGCAACTTTACCCTTAGAGTAGAAATCTACACTAAGGTAATAATTAAACAAATGACGTGGAATGGCACTAAATCCTACAATTAAAGAATTATTAATGTTTTTAATTTTATCTTATGTGAAGTAACTTATTTTATTTTATGGTTTAGGTTGGCGGATTTACATTTATGGGCCACTTTACGTGGATAGACGTGCCCGAAAGAGAGAAGAAGCGTCGAGGCTCTGACATCGACCCAACTTGGTAAATAAACAGTTTATAGTATGTAGACTGTACGATAGACAAGTTGATTGATTAGTTGGTCAAGTTTGTTGTGTCGGTCGAGTTGATGGAAAATAAATAAGATGCTGTTCTCAGTCCTTAAGTGTACATTAAGTACGGATAACCTACACTTAACCATTATTTAAGCAGTATGTACAGTACTATAAGTAAGGTAGTAACATTAGTAGGCGATAGTAAAGTTGGTTTTTAAATAGATAACCTTTATTCAAATAGGTCGCCGACAATGGCGGGTGGTTTGTTTGCGATGAACCGCGCTTACTATTGGGAGTTAGGTGCGTACGATGAGCAGATGGCGGGCTGGGGCGGAGAGAACCTTGAGATGTCCTTCAGGATATGGCAGTGTAAGTGATACTTAAATATGTCATCATCCACTTACCCTTATCCCTTACGGAGGGTTGGCACAGTATGTGCTGCCATACACCTCTATCAGCCGTCATATCTAAATCCATTCCTTTCTTAAGCATATCCTCTTTCACACAATCCATCCACACTTTCTTCGGTCTTCCTCTACCTTTGTAGCCATCCACATGCAATCTTAATATTTTCTGGTTTATGTCCCCATCTATTCGTCGCCTAACATGTCTATACCTTTTGCTTCTCAATTTCTCCACCAAGTAGTATTTAATATTACTCACTGATAACGTAGTTTTTAATGGTGAAAGAATTTTAAAATCGACCCAGTAGGTTTTAAGTTATTTCAATACATACAAAAATACATTTTTTTCTATTTATTAGTATAGACTAGTTTCAGTATTTGGTCGTAAATGCACTAACTGGGCGTCCATTTTTAGGGGTTGCAAATATTTGACTAGTCTTGTAGTATCAAAGACGGGGGTTGGGAATTCTTAAGACAACTATACTCTTCGCACATTTTTTTTACGTATCTATCAACTGTTAAAAGTCCGACTTTTTTCCTGTTTCTCTCAACATTTTTTAATTCCTTATAGTTAAAATAAATCAATGTTTTCTGTCAGGTGGTGGTACACTGGAGACGATACCATGTTCCCGTGTCGGTCACGTGTTCCGCAGCTTCCATCCGTACGGCCTGCCCGCTATGTCCGACACGCACGGTTTGTATAACAAATATTTTACTGTTCAAAAACCTATTAATATTATAAATGCGAAGGTTTTGATGGATTTTAGAGTTTGTAGCCTTAACTACTGAAGGGATATCAATTAAATTTGGCGTAGGTGTACAGCAAAGTCTGGAAGAACGCGTAGGATACTTTTTTTTAATTCGACGCGGACAAAGTGGCGGGTAAAAATAGTATGTTATAAATAGAAAATATTGATTTGATTACATTACCAATAACCGTGGAATACGCGGAAATGATTTTTAATCTACTAGCTTTTATTTTTTTAATACAGTGTTCTTTTTAATGTTTTAATTCATCATTAAAATTGCCTATCATCATCATCATCATCATCATCATCACCAGCTCACTATACGTCCCCACCGAGGGGCTTGAAGCCTACCCTAATACGGGGTGACTAGGCCATAGTGAACCATGCTGGCCCATTGCGGGTTGGTTGACTTCACACATATCTTTGAATTTCTTCGCCGATATGTGCAGGCATTACGATGTTTTCCTTCACCGTAAGAACGTCCGGTAAATTATGTACATATGACAATTCGAAAATCACATTGGTACATGGCGGGATTCGAACCCAAGACCTGTAGATTACAAGTCAAGTGTTCAAACCACTGAGCCACCGACGCTCTTATTGTCTATGTCAATAAGTGATTTTTTAATATTTTCTTTGATGAAAATTGAATTTTCAGGAATCAACACTGCTCGGATGGCGGAGGTTTGGATGGATGATTATGCGGAGCTTTTCTATTTGCATCGACCTGATTTACGTGTGAGTATATTTATATTAAAAAGATACAGTTTCATTTGTATTAATAGCTAAAACGACACTTACGAATTGGCGTTTTGTCGAAGGGACCTATTTTTGACCGACTTCCCAAAAGAAGAAGGTACTCAATTCGTCTATATGATTTTTTAAATCTAATATACAGCAATATCACTTTTAAAAAATAATTTGTTTATGCAGTTTCCTCCTCAAACATAATAAAATGAAAAATGTAAATTAGATTTAAAAAAAATCATATTTATGGTAATCTAGACCTAGCCTAGATCACCGGCTGACAAAATCCTGAATCCATGAAATAGACTGATTTAGTATTTCCCATGCGTTTTAAGATAATTTGATATTCATCAATATCTTTTTAATTCGTTTATCAGAAAAACCCAAAGATCGGCGACGTGACACACCGCCGGATACTGCGAGAGAAATTGCATTGCAAGAGCTTCCAATGGTACCTCGACCATGTGTATAAAGAGAAGTTTGTACCAGTGAGAGATGTATATGGTTTTGGCAGGTTAGTATTTTTAACTAAGGTAAATCGTAAAAAAAATATATTTTTCGATTAATGTATGAAATGAAATAATTCAAATACTACTGTGTCAATTTTAAAATTTCATTCACCAAAAATGTAGTACTTAGTAACACTAAGTAACATAAGTTATGTTTTACTATTTTTTAATTCACCGTGGACGAAATCGCGAGCAATAGCTAGTATATTACTGTTATAAAAATCCCTAAAAATATCCAAATCAATTTACAATATTGTAGTAACTTAATATAAGAATTATTAACGTTTTTAATTTAATTTTTTAATGCATGACACTTACTGTCTCCTTCCTAAACCGAAAGTGCGAGGGAGCGCGGAACAAAATATAGATTTGTTTTGTGACGTCATTACGTTAAAGGATCCTCCGTAAAACGACTTTACAGACCAATTTTATATATTTCTACAACACTTATTACATTTTAACAGAAAATGTTCTTTAAATTTCATTCAATGAAAGAATGAATGACTTATGAGCCATACTGTAAATCGTTCTTTGTCCAGATTCCTGAATCCGTGGAGCAATCTTTGCTTAGACACGCTGCAGCGGGATGGGGAGGGGACACCGCTGGGTGTGTACCCCTGCCACGACACGCTGCAGGCCACGCAGTACCTCTCCCTGTCACTCAGGGGAGAGTTGCGAGATGAGGAGAAATGCGCTGAACTGCAGTTCTCCAGGTTATACTTTGATATGTTTATTTATTCTAGGAAATTCAAAATTTATACTTCTTCTATATCCATACTTCTATACTATTATAATAAAGCGTAAACACACACATCTTTGTCGCCTAACATGTCAGCAATCATAGCATTTTTTTGAATAATACTTTTTTAAATAAAAAGTCCTACACTTAAGTCTTTCTTTAGGCTATACATTTTCACGCCATTAAACTTAGGGGATAACTTAATTGGAAAAACTATTACGTGGGAAAGGGACAAAAAAACTAGGTGACAAGGAAGGAAGGTTGCCATGGTAACGATCAATGTTAAGGTTTTCGTTGTCATTTCTGCGTTCGAATTTGACATTTTTACAAATGTAAAGAATAAAATATTTTTTTAATAATTACATGCGGATAAACTGTACGGGAACAACTCGTGTATGATTCTGAATTCGAAAATAAAATTGATTAAAAAAATAAATTTTCAGACATATACCGGAAGATAATATAGACGAAGAAGGTCGCAGAGTACTGATGGTGACTTGTCATGACAAGAATAGAGGACAGGTAAATCTTACTTCTTACTGATATTATAAATGCGAAAGTTTAGATGGATAGGTGTTTGTTAGAGTTTGTAGCTTAAAAGGCTCAGGCAATATTGACATATACATATATTTAGAACCGGGTTTCATAAAGATCAGAGCACTTTTTTGAAACAAATCAAAATGTAGGTTTTTCAGTAGACATGTATGAAACGCCAAAAATCATTGGATTGAATGAAGTATACAGAATTATAGTAATTTTAATCGAGAAACGGTTTGAAAATCTTTCAATTGGAGTTTTCAGGATTTGCTTTTATGTTTTTTTCTAAAAATGAAAACTTTGAATGGCTCTTCTGTACATTTAACGGTGCTTCACTCATCGATTTCTTTTTTTTTATTTCATTAGTTACGTTCCTAATAATTTTGTGTTTAATTTTTTTTTCATAATTGTAGTGTTGACAAGGATTAAACATTATTTTATTTATTTTATTTTATATATGTTTGTCAGAAGTGGCAGTACCTGGACAGCAAGCAGCTGCAGCACGTGGAGTCGCAGCTGTGCCTGCAGGCGGGGCCGCGCGCCGGCGCCGACGTCAGCGCGCGCCGCTGCCGGCCCGGCCTGCCCGCGCAGCACTGGCTCATCGACTACAGCGAGGACAACGACTTCAGGGCCTCCAGTGTGTATATAATCATCTAAATTAACTTTATTTATAACGAGTTGTCGCAAACTTTGTTAACTCAGATTTAAAAAAAAATACACGTATACAGCTATATTTTAGTCAAAGTCCCGTCCAAATCGGTCCATCCGTTCCAGAGATAGTGATCCAGTCGCTATTTTCACAGCGCGGAATTAAAAAAAAAAGTAGCCTGTTATATGGCCCTCTATGTCAGCTACCCTTCGTTGAAAGTCAGGCCGAAATCGGCCCAGTCGTTTCAGAGATTACCCGGAACAAACGCGGCTTGCGGACAGACAAACAGACATAAAAAATTTTAAATGTGATTTTCGTTACAGCAACGTAAATACATCATCTTCCCGAAATCTGGAATTTCTTTTGGTTTTGACACATTTATTATTATTATTTTTGACCAATTTATGTCTGTAAAGTCTTGGCAAATGCGCCTGTATCGTATCTTTAATCGACAGAGGAGGGGACGCAAAGAAAGATATTTCTCTCTGTGCTTTTCCCCTTCATATATCTATACAAAGGGAAGAAACCCTTTATCTTTAGAGGTTACAGTACAGACAAAAATACGTTGTATTTTTTGCAGACGATGTAGAGCCCAGTGAACAAGAAGTGAACCTAATGCGACTCAGAGGACAACGGTAAGAAATTATCTTTAAAATTTTAAAAATTTATATCAGTAATAAACGAAAATAAAGTAACATTTAATGGTTATAAGTTATAATCTATTTTATATTTTTTTTTATTTATATATAATAAATTAATTGTTAGTAAAATTATACATGGAAATGTTCAAATTTCATTTGAAATTAAAAAATCTGCTTTCCATAATAATAATTTTATTTTCAAGGCGAAAATCCCGTTCTCTTCTATCAGTTGAAACGGAGAACGAGGCGAAAGATGCCCGCAGAGCTCACAAATCTAAACGCAAAGGAAAGAAATCAAAGAAGAAGAGTAAGAAGAAAGTAATCAAGAATAAGTTCATTCTCACTCTCGTACGGACAATGAAGAATAATACAGAAGAACATTTAGAAACCGAGATACATTGTAAACACACCCGGCTTTATCCTAATAATACATTTGTTAGAGACCTCGTTACTATACTCAACGATAATAATATCAAGGTAAGGAATATTTTACTAATATTATTGTTATTAGCAAATTACTCTTATTAGTTACCATCTTCATACTGCTCTGAACCCTTAACTTTATTTCCCACCATCTTGCAAGGGTCAAGAAGACCCAAGGGTCCAAGAAGACTAAGGCAGTAGGTTTGACAGTGGTAGAGCCCGCTTTATCATCTTCGCACTGTATGGTTGGCTCGCCCCCTGCAACACTACCACACAGAAGACAGGCATGAAGTGGGAGCAATTCCGCGTACAGTCTGATAAGTGTGGTGCCGGAGGCCCAATTTTAGTTCCTTACCCGTTTTATAAGCAAAGGATTGAATGGGAAAGTGGGTTTGACGGTGGAGGAGACAGACGCATAGGAAGGGGAAATAGTCTCTTTATATGCGTCTCCTCCTCCATCGATTTAGGGTAGGCAATGCATCTGCAATTGCTGATGCATTGCAACGGTCGCTTGCCATTTTGGCGGATATAGGTGGCCGCTTGCTCGTTTGTCACTATATTGTATAAAAAAAGACTAAGAGTCACTGACGTAAACGTTCACCAGGTGATAAACAACGGACGTGTGTTCGAACGGAACAAGGTGACAGAACTCAGCAAGGACAAGAAGGTGGAGAAGGTGTTGAAGAAGATGGACCTCCGTATGCCGGCGGAGGAGGACACGGCCAGCGTCACCCCCGCCATGCCCCAACCACACAACTCTGTAGGACAAATACCGGTAATACCTCCATTACTTGTTATATACTAGCTGTTGCCCGCGACTTCGTCCGCATCATCATCATCATCACCAGCTCACTATACGTCCCCACCGAGGGGCTCGGAGCCTACCCTAAAGTTAGGGTGACTAGGCCATAGTCAACCACGCTGGCCAAGTGCGGGTTGGTCGACTTCGTCCGCATGAAATTAAAAAAAATAGCCTATGTTACTAACTGATAATGTAGCTTCTAAACTGTGAAAGCATTTCTGAACGTCCAGTAGTTTTTGAGTTATTTCAGTACATACAAAAATACAAATGTTTCCTCATTATAATATTAGTATAGGTTAGAGATAAGGTTGAAAAATTATTTGATTATTATTGATTTTTTTTAACCACGTCTTAAATAATAAAGCTATGCTTAAAGTCCAAAGTTATAACTTAGCTTTATCATTTTATATAGGCCCAGGGTATTAATGGTCAGGACTGAAATCCTTTATAAAATAAATAATTATAGGAAATTTCAGAAAATCGAAAGAGCAAATAAACATATTTTTATTAGATCTGAATGTCGATCCATCTGTCGCTTGGTTGGTTTGTTTGTTACGGGCATATTATATGTTTTTAAATTCCGCGCCGTCAAAATGGCGAAATGGGTGGTCCAAATTTGCGCTGACGAAGTTTGCGAGCGACAGCTCACTTATAATACATATAAAAAATTTTTATGCACCGCGCTTACGATGCGAAATATATTGGTATTGTATAAAATATTGGTTTCAATATGCAATACTGATTAAGAATATTGTTAGATACCGAAGCAGCCGTGGCGCAACAGCAAGAAGCTGAAGCCGGGGCGGCTGGTGGAGGAGCCGGCTGGGGGTGGGGGTGGAGCCGGGGTCGGGGGCGGCGGGGCCGGCACGGAGGAGGACGAGGTAATTGCCCCCGCGGGCAGGCCGCCGCCCACACAGAACAAGATCATTGTCGAGGAGTTCGTGGAGGTGAAGCAACTGCCCAGCGATGTACCTCAGGTCAGTGTGTGGGCGGCGACATAACTACGTATTTAAAACCCTTTTTCCACTAGTGCGATTAATGGATTATTAAAACCTGCTACAGAGTAGCTGCAAACAATATTTTATTGAATTTAATAGAAATAAGAAATTATAATAAACTTATCTTAACAATTTTATCTACACAATAAAAGATATTAAAACAGTCTTGAATAAATTTATTTATTGTCAAAATTATTATTTTTAATTGGACTTTACATGACTAATTCCAAATGTTTTATATTAATAATTTGTAGTATGAATGGTAATTAAGGTACATAAATATATTAAAAAAAAAACTTCCAGCAATCAACAAAGAAGAGAAAGCATAGACGCAAGCACACCACCGTGGTGCCGATGTACCAGCCTGATGATATCGAGGACACGCCAATGTTGGATACCAAACTAAGGTACAATATCTCTTGGATTTATTTATAAACCAATCTGCACATGTGCTGGTCTTCAATTGTAATTTAAAATAGATGACACTACTTACAAATTATACAATGTGATGTTATACATTAAGATCATAATTAAACATAAACCGTAAACACACACTACTTTTTATCGTAATATGTCAGCAATCATATTCTTGAATAACTCTTTTTATATTGTAAAAAAAAAATATTGTGTAATTTAAACATTAATACTGTTAAGAAGAAAATCGGACAACACTAAAATTTCGGCATAGACGTCCCTATCTGACAGCTGTCAATGTCATTTAGGCGTATTGGAATATGGATCGGTAGCTCTGAATGTTTACTTACGTTAATACAATTAAAATATCTAATAAGTTTTTTTTAAACAACTTTTTAAAATGTATGTCTCTATACATTTTCAAAAGTTGTATATATCTGTAGACCGATTTTGATGACTTTGACTTGAAAATAACTTAGTTTAATTTAGTTTTTTAATATATTTGTATATTATTATTGTATATTTCAGAGCTGGTTTGCCGACTTGGAGCGATGATTACGATAACTTCAAGAGAGAAACATCAGAAGAAAAAGCCGGAAACATGATGATAAGTGTTGAGAACTCGCATTACCCTCCGCAGAGTAAGTATTTACTAATTATATACTAGTTTAATTAAAAAAAAGTAATAGTTTAACATATAAGATATATTTAGACAAGAAGATTTTAGATTTAATCTGTACAAAACATCTTCAGCATAGTAAGAAAGGTCAGATTTAGATGGATGGATGTTTCAACGTATCTCTTAAAACGCTCAGTAGATCCCATTCAAATTTGGCATGGATGTAGAATATGTTTTGGAAGTCACAAAAGTTACATATTTAGTTTTTATTTTTAATATACGCTGGCGGAAACGCTTGCATTTGAAAACAAAAATTAAAACTACTATATGTCACTTAATTTTCCTTTAAGATATTTTTTAATCAAATTAATATTGTAAATGCGAAAGTTTAGATGGATGTTTGTTAGAGTTTGTAGCCTAAATGGCTGATCGGATATCTATGAAATTTGCTTGGGTAGAGAATACTCTGGAAGAGCATATAGGCTCATTTTTATTTTTAATTCCACGCGAACGGAGTCGCGGGCGAAAGCTAGTGTTTCATAATTAATTGATTGATTTGAGATGTTTTGTGTTAGCAATGAAGAGTAACTTCGGCAACGTGCTGGTGGAGCGGCTGCAGCACGCGCGGCCGCACGTGCGCGCGCAGGACGGACCCTACATCGTAAGTTGATTGACCTACTATTATACAGGGTGATGCTTAAGGACGAATCAATGGTTTTGTGGAGTTAGAAGACCTCAATAGCTATCGTTAAGCCCAAAGTATGTTGCCCGACTTCCTATAATTTCAAAGTTATTTAAGTAGATTAAAATTTGGTATATGTAAGTTACTGCGTTGGCGCAGCGACCCAAATTGGGTATTGCCCTCGGACATGAGAGAGCGCAAGCGTCGTCTGTTCATAATAAGAAATTGCATAAAATGTTGTACTAAAATATTTGTACTCCAAAACGTAAAAGTCAGCAAAAGGTAAGTTTGCTATAAAAAAGAAATATTTGTTTTTTGTAAGTGTTGAACTCAAAAACTACTGGGACGATTCCAATCCTTTCACTATTAAAAAGTTACGTTATCGCTGAGTAACATATTTTTTAATTTCACTTGAACGAATTCCCGGGCAACATCTAGTCTAAAATAAAGTCATAATTAGTTCAAATATCTGCGTTTCGGATTACTTTGACCTATTACTGTTTAGTATAGTTGAATGTATAACATTACTTTCTACTTCGCATACTTTAGCCACAAGATAGTTGCAAACGATTTTAAAACAAATAAAATCATCCGTATATTTTGATATCGAGTGGTTTTGCAAAGGAGGCGGGTACGAGTGAGGCGCCGGGCGGGGCGGGCGCGGGGGCGGGGGCGGGGGAGGCGGCGGGCGAGGGGGCGGCGGGCGGGCCGCCGGTGCCGCGGGCGCGCGCGCAGCAGCCGGTCAAGCTGGTGATGAAGAGCAACCTCACCTTCAACCTCGGAGACGAGTTCTTCAACTGGCGACGGAACGCTGATGATGTCGCGTAAGTCCACGATGAAAAACCCTTTCTTACTAATTATAAATGCGTGTTTAGATAGATGGTAAGAAGGTTCAGAACGGCTTAGACGATGTAATTTGCCAAATTTCATAAAAATACATACAAATTACTTACAAAGACTAATTCCGCACGGACGAAGTCACGAGCAAAAGTTAGTGTAACATACTTTATACACCATACTAGCAAATTTTCAGATTAAAAAAGTAATTTTTTTATCTTTAATTTCAGACAATTCTTAGGCGAACTGGGTATACCTTTAAATACTAACGCGACGCGGTCCATCGTGAACTGGACGAAGCCGCTGAAGATCGATGCAAAGGAGTTGCCAGCGCGCAACGCCACCACCTCCAGCGCCACCGGCGAGGACTACTCCTCGGGCTCATCGGAGAGCGCCAGTAAGGAGATTTAGATTACATTCGCCATCTTGTGACAAATGTCGTCTTTTGCAACAAATGTCATCTTATGTGTCGCCATTGTGTGACAAATGTCATCTTATATGTCGCCATCTTGTGACAAAAGTCATCTTGTGATATGTGGAAGCAAAAATATGTTGAATTTTAAAATTATAATTAACTTTGCTTTTACATATCTTGTAACTAAACATATCTGGAAAGACAATGTATGTAAACAACAGAATCTACTTTTAAGACTGAATATTATATAAAATTCCGTCCAATTATCTACATAATAGTGCAAAACAGATATATTCGGGGCTATGTAGACTTTTTAAACGTTTTTATCCTGTCATTGTTTTTGTCAAATAATTTGATAGATGGGCCTTTCTTAGTCTGTCCAACGTGCAATGTTTGACAATCATAGACAAAAACATCGCAGAACGGTTTAAAAAACATTTTATTTTTAATTTGGCGCAGCTAGAATAAATGATTTTTTATAATCTGTGAATTAATAAAAATTCAGATTTTCTTTTAAAGATTAAAAATAATAATAACGGTGTTTTGACAAGATTAGGTATTATGTAGTTGTTAAAGCATAATAAACTTAACTGTGTTATATTTTGTTGGCATAATATTAGAAGTTCAATATTATTGTGTTCTTTTGTAAATAGTTATGTAAACTTAGTAATTTGTTAAATTATTTAACTTGATGCCGCCACAATTTATTTTGTTAGAAGTTGAAGATTATTAGTTTTCAATATAAATACTTCTTGGAACCAAATAATAATATTTTAAAACTAAAAATAGAATTAGAATTAATGTTTAATTCGGATCGAAGCAAAAGCTGTCATTTCCAAACCTATCTATTTGTACAGATCAGTGATTTCAAGTCATTGAATCTTATTTTAGTAGTGGCGCCATCTATTCTTTGATTTATGAAACGACTGTTCAGTCCTGTTGTTTTGGTGCTCAATATCGTAATAACCTAAGTGTACTTACATAGGCATAATATTTTATTTCTTAAGACTTAGTTGTAGATAATTTGGTCAAACAAGGATGTCTTGCCCAGTATAACCGCAGTTACGGTTTTTGTTAGATACGAACCTACTAAGGTAAAGTAAATAATAAACGAAAAAATATACGGATAAATGTATACGTTTAGAAAACATTACAAACGTATGGCCTTCGGTTTTAAAAATATTTATGTATGTTTTTGTGGTTATAAGCATACAGATTCGTAAATTCGTATTTTTGAAACTAAAAGTATACTAGTTTGTGAAGCTTTGTAAATTTTTACATATTTACTCAGCTGACTGTACAGAAATTTCGGGACATTTTAACATTGTTAAGGGGATAAAAATCTTAAAGCCTAGTGAGCTTTTGCAGTATGAATAATGCATAACGGGTCAGATATCCTTGTCGGTCTACTTGTTACTTGAAATGACTTTTATTGAACTATATGGACATTGAAATATCTACTTATGTTCTGATGTTACTTTACATATAAAAACAATGTTATCTGTGAGATTTTTCAAATAGAATTTATATGTTTCTGCAATGAGAACTGTATAATAAAGATTGTAAATTGCATCACTTGTTTATTTTATACTAAGTTTCGCCTGCAACTCCGTTCGCGTGAAAAAAAATAGAAGTGAGTAGCCTATATGTTATTCCAGACTATCCTCTACGTCGATCCCGAATTTCATCGAGGTCCGTTAGCGGTTTAGGCCACAAACTCCATCCGTCAAAATTTTAGCATTTATATTAGTAAGATTGTTACCATAATCAAAACATTAACTGAATCCCCAACCTTTTTACTTTTTTTTTAATAAAAAAATATTGTGAGGTGGGTGTTGGTTATGTGCAAGTCGGATAATGAGTGATTTATCTGCTTTTGTGAATTTTTGTACAAGGTGTTCACTGTTGGGAATGTAACTTTTCTAACCATTTGGAAACCTTATCTTTACACAATATTTTAGTCAATGGAAATGTTTGTTTTGTTTACACTGTACAGAATATTACCAAGGATCGATTACGACTTTCAAAATCAAAGTGAGGTTAGAGAAATGAAACAAGTTTAATTTGAATATAATCATTTTTTAATTATTTACAATAAATTTTACTTGTACTATGAAGAGATCTTCATTTTCACAAATGTTTTAAATATTTTTAGGAAAGCCAATCACATATACATGGAGAATTCAGACTTGACTGAAATTCTTTCAAAACATACCACTTTAGTAATTACGCTTTTCTAATTTTGTATTATATTTTAACAAACATAAAAAATCAAACATTTTTTTTTATCTTGAATACAAATAATTTTCTCAAAACACATAATTATTGAGACAAAGAGCAACAAAAATATAATATTTATATTATATTTTAACAGTTATCCAGACACTATACTTGTAGTACGATTTTTTTTAATAAATCAACATTAGAAATCAAGACCATGCTTAGTAAGATAACACATGCAGTTTACACAATACATTGTAATACTTAACACAAAATGACATACTTCTTTGTACTTTAAAATTTGGCATAACAAAAAATTAATCACTTAGTAACATGCATCACAGATATTTAAAAATACCCTTATTAATTTATCAAGAGATCTTTTACTTTGTAAGATTTATAAGTACCCTCATCGAAAATGTATACGTTTTGAATGCTGTCTCTTTTTTTCCAAAGAGAATGAGCGAGATAGCAATTGAATATTTTTATCAGGTACAATCAAAAATAGTTTCGCAATAGATTTTTTTTTCTCTCATTTTACTTAAGTTTTTAAAATTTACACGGCCGTCCTCTCCCAACACCAATAGCTCTTTGCGTATTTCCAACATCATTTCTTAGATTTTGTAACCTTCCTCGACCTCTACCTAAATCTTGGGTTTCATTTTTATATGAACCGGCTAGAAATATATCATCGAAAGTTTTTATGAATGTTTTTTCTCTGGTTAATTCGCGATGACACGACGCATCGTAGTCATGTGTCGGCTGTTCATCGTAACTGCTCGCTTCGGTCACAGCCCTCGGAGAGAATATAACATCCCCTCCATATAACGTCGGATTGGTTAAAGAGAGACATGAACGAATACGCTGAAAATATCATACTAATATTATAAATTAGCTTTCGCCCGCGACTCCGTCCGCGTGGAATTAAAGAAAACACAAGTTAGTAGCCTATGTGTTCTTCCAGACTATCCTCTACATCTGTTACAAATTTCATCGAGATCCGTTTAGCCGTTTAGGCTCTCTAACAAACATCCATCCATTGTAACTTTCGCATAATATTAGTATGATGTTTGTTAGAGTTTGTAATCTAAACGACTGAACAAATTTCGATGAAATTTGGTATACATGTAGAGTATAGTCTGGAAGAACACATAGGCTACTTGCATTTGTTTTGTTTTTAATTCGCGAGTCGCGACTCGCGGGCAAAAGGAAGTAAAGGGTAAAATAGATTTGTTTTACAGCCAATTATTAAAACGATATTTAAATACTACAATGCTAAGGCCTAAATTTAAGTTTTTGACTTTTTAAATTCCATTAAATTTTGACACCTGTCAGATTATAAGACACGTAGCAAAGTGTTTAAATTTCGTTTCAGTAGTCGGCTCTTCGTAATCTTTGCCTACGGTCTTTCCAAATTTCGTATGAAGAATTAAATGGCTTGTCTGCTTTAAGGTAAATGTTCCAGTGAATTAAACTAGAATGTTTTTAAACAAAATTGTAACAATCTTATTATTATTTGCTAAATAAAGTATAGCTTGAAATAACAGCTTGTTAGATTTGAGTTGAAGTCTATTATTAACTAGCTGTTCCCCTGCGATTTCATCCGCATAATTTTTTTTTTATTGCTTACATTTGTCAATTACAAATGTCAAAATGACATGATGACAACCTTGCTTCCTTGATGTTGGCAGCAACTTATGGTCTCTTTCCCACATTGGGGTTTTTATCCAAAATATTTACCCCTTAAGTTTAATGGCTTTAAAATATAGTCTAAAGCGTGACGTAAGTGTATGGCTTTTTATTAATAAAAGATTTATTCAAAAATATGCTGTAATTGCTGACATCTTAGGTAACAAAGAAGTGTGTGTTTACGCTTTATTATAATATAGACTAGCTGTTCCTCGCCACTTCGTCCGCATGAAATTAAGAAAATACAAAAAACGTAGCCTATGTTAATCACTGATAACGTAGCTTTTTATAGTAAAAGATGATTTAAAATCGTCATAGTAATTTTTGAGTTATTTCAAAACAATACAATACAAATCTTTCCTCTTTATAATATTAGTATAGATTAAATAAAAAAACTCACTCTTCGCTGATTCTCCTCAATGAGCAGACTGCGCAGTAGGTTGGTGTGCGCCTGCACCGCCGCGCGCAGCTGCGCAGAGGACAGGCAGGCCAGGGAGTTAGCGCTCACATCCGCCTCACTTAACGCTGCACATACCAATAATCTGCACTGATCATATTAGGCCAGTACAGTTCGACAGTTGCAATAACTGGACTGGTATAGTGTAAACATTATTCCAGTACAGATAGAAAGTTGTAATGACAGGACTGACAGAGTAATTGGCACAAGTGAATAAAACTCAATGTCTAGCCTGCGCGACTGTCCCACTGTACTGGCCAAGTGCGAACCGCGCACTAATAAATTTATTCGTTAGTTTTCGTAAAAACTACATAATGTTTTATATAATTTTATTAACGTTGTATGTTGACCACTGACCTCTAGAAATGGACAGGCTGTAAATTAGGGTTGTAACGGAGGCCATTTTAACGGAAGCGGATGCGAAGGTTAACGGAAGCGCAATCGGAGGTCAATAATAAAACATTAATTGCGATTTATTAAAGAAATAAAAACTAAAACTACTTTAATTCAAAATATAGATTAGCACATAATTACAAGATACAGTTAATTGTGCAAATATAATAACATAAGGTGGCAAACGACCACGCGGCCACCTGAATCCGCCAAAATGGCGAAGCGACCGCTGCCCATAGACATCCACAATTGCAGATGCGTTGCCTACCCTTATCTGACTGAGGAGGAGACGCACATAAAGAGGATACTTCCCCTTCCTATGCATCTCCTTCACCGTCAAAGCCACTTCCTCCTCCCATCCTCTCCTTATAATAAAGGGTGGTAAAGAAAAAGGGACTAAAATTTGGGATAGCTGAATGCCAGTCCAGTTATTGCTACTGGCGACGTGTGAACTGGGCAGTGTTACCAACATTTGGGCAGCGTGAGCTCTATCTCCGAGGAGTGCGGGGCGACGTCTGCGCCGCGCACGAACTCGCCCCAGCTGTCCACTGAGTTGTTACTCGTTGGCAAATCGCAGTCCGTCTCCACTCCGCCGTACGAATATACCTTGATATACAACAGTCTTGTTGGTATATATGTTATTTCTTGTGACTTCGTCCGTGTACAATAAAAAAATATAGCCTATGTTACTCGCAGATAAATTGCCTTTCTAATGGTGAAAGAATTTAAAACATTGGCCCAGTAGTTTTTGAGTTATTTCAATACATACAAAAATAGAAATATTTCTACTTTATATCAGTACTAGTTTTCGCCCGCGACTCCGTCCGCGGGGTATTAAAAAAACAAAACCAAGTAGCCTATGTGTTCTAGACTGTCCTCTACATCTATGTCACATTTCATTGAAATCCGTTCAGCCGTTTAGGCTACAAACTTTAACAAACATCCATCCATCTAAACTTTCGCATTTATATTAGTATGTTATTCATAGATAATTTACCTTTCTAATGGTGAAAGTAGTTTTAAAATTGGCCCAGTAGTTTTTGAGTTCATTACATACAAAAATACAAATCTTTCCACTTTATATTAGCATAGATATAAATTAATACCAGAACCAAAGCTAAAATATGTTTGAAATCAAAAAAACTGCATAATCTAATGGCAAAGGCCTAATTTTAGTCCCTTCCCATTCTTTTTCTATAAGGGCAAGTGGTTTCGTTAGAATTTAGATCATATAGGAAGGGAAAATATCCCCTTTCTGTGGTTAATGTTAAAAATCTGCAATTCTCATCTACAGGTAGCTTTGCTATTTTTATATGTATATTTTATATTTATTATTTATTAATATAGTTATTTATATTTTATTCAGGTGGCTACTTGCTTCTTACACCTTATGATATACAAATTGCTTACATTATTAGAGAGCCAGCGTAGATCATCAGCGGGTACCCAAAAGGGATCATCAGTCTGTCTCCAGTCGAGTGTATTAGCAGCATTGTCTCCACACTCCAATCCATTTACCTGTGTGGGATCTGATAACCAAATACATAGTAATTCTGACTTCATTTCATATAAGCATTAGATATCACAACTTTGTCTGTGACGAATTAAACCCTTAAATGCATGATTAGGTGCCGGAGGCCTAATTTTAGTCCCTTTCCCTTTCCACCCTTTTCTTAAGTGTAAAGGATGGGAAGGAAAAGTGGATTTTATTGTGGAGATGATGAATAGGAAGGGGAAATGTCCTCTTTATGTGTGTCTTCTCCGTTAATGAAGGGTAGGCAACACATCTACAATAGCGGATGTTTATGGGCAGCGGTTGCTTTCCATTTCGGTGGATTCAGGTGGCTGTTTGCTCGTTTGACATCTTGTGATATAAAAAAATGATGCATTTATACATCAGTCTTTTCTTCCTTAGGCAATAGAATATTTTGAAAAACATTTTTTTTTATTTTTCCTTTAATCTATGTTTAATTTACTACATGTTTTAAATTATGGTATTTAAAAAGAGAAAAATCTTGCATTTAAGGGTTAATTAGTAAAAAATTTAGCCTATTTTACTAAGTAACATAGGTTTTTAATAGTGTTTTTTTTTTTAAATCAGCCCAGTAGTTTTTAAATTATTTCAATACGGAAATTAGCACTGGATTTTTTGTCATTAACAATAATAAACGCACTAAAAATTAAAAATTCCTTTAAAAGAGCTGCAATACTAAACTAAACATGTTTTAAAAAGGTTTTTTTTTATTACCGTTTGGATAATACTGGTCAAATTCAGGCACAATTCTCCAATTACCATTATGATCCTGCCAATATTTGTCATCATCAAGATATCTGTAGTTATTTGAATAGTTTTGTACATCTTCTGTTTGTGGATCCAAGTAGTTCTGAACAACTTCCATACGACCATCAACAGATACTTCTGGTAACTCTAGCAATTCAACTGTATTATCTTTTATTTGCTTATTTTCTTGAATATCTGTAGCTGAATTGGAGATATAATTGCTAACTTCAATGTCCTTAGATTTGCTTGCTAATTGCTTTTTAGAAACATTGCTATCTATAAATACATTTAATTTGATTTAATCTATACTATTATAATAAAGCATATACACATACTTCTTTGTTGCCTAAGATGTCAGCAATTACAGCATATTTTTAAATAATTCTTTTTTTATTCAAAGCTTTAGGCTATATATTTTCATGCAATTGAACTTAGGGGGTAAACATTTTGGATAAAAACCCTAATGTGGGAAAGAGACCATAAGTTGCTGTCAACATTTGATATTTGCTATTGATATTTTGACAAATGAATACAATAAAATAATTTTCATAATTTCATGCGGATGCTGCACTGGCACAGCTAGTTTAAACATAAAGGTGTAAATAATATACAAAGACAAGAAAATGGACAGTCATATTATCAACAGTTAAAAATATAATTTAATCTTACTAATATTATAAATGCGAAAGTTTAGATGGAAGGATGTTTGTTAGAGTTTGTAGCCTCAACGGCTGAGCGGATTTCGGTGAAATTTGGTATAGTATAGATGTGGAGGATAGTCTGGAAGAACACACAGGCTACTTGCTTTTGTTTTTTTTTTAATTCCACGCGGTCGGAGTCGCTGGCAGAAGCTAGTTGTATATAAATTAACAAAAGTGTACACTAACCTGATTCTGTATCTAGAAATGCATTATTTAGCTGAGAAAATTCAACTTTAGGTTCCTCTACATCATAAGTCTGGTTCAAAAGCTTCCTATAATACACAATTTAAACACGTTATTATAGGTGAAAAAATACGAGATTGTGGTTGATATAGGCAACGGGAATACCATGATTACTTTTATGGTCAAACATTAGTTTATTTCTCGCCTATTGGAAGTAGAAGCTCAAAAATACAATGATTTTAATTTAAGACCTAAACTGCTTATTATGTTGGGCTTGATAAGATGAAGGCCTGACAATGTAATCAGTAATCAAATAGGAACGTTTTCTTCGCCTTTCTTCTAGCGTCCATCGTAGTTTGAAAAGCTGATCAAGTCATGAAAATATCACACTTACTTGAGGTTTGAGATTTTATCGCGTTTATATTTCTTTGCGTCCGATAGTTTCCAGTTTTTCTTCTTCTTATAAAACTCCAACCGATATATAGCAACTAAGTCTGGTTTCGGCGACTCCATATCTCATGTAAAGGTGTACGAAAAATTAACTATAGGCAAATTTAGTTATAATAAATACAACAAATTTATAGCTTAAATTCTGTTGACATCACAGATTGTTCTTTTTCCTACGAATTTGTAAATTGGCGGTAGCTGTCAAAACAAAACAATTTTAAAAACTTTGAGAGATGTAAAACTGTAAAAACGTGACCATAGACCACTGACATTTCTCTACAAATGGACAGGCTATAAGGTGTGATATTTTTTGCCTATTTGATTTTTGCCATTTTGGCGCTGACCGACGTAGTGAGGATTCGAAATAATAATAAAGATAGAATTAACTGTCGACTCGTCGTCGATCAATCGGCGTGGTACAAAGTAAAAAGTCTTTTCAATTTTCAAGCAATGTCCTATCCATTTGTAAAGATCAATGTCATAAAAACAATTTTTATTTCTCTAATAGACTCATGGACTCATATTCCTTAATTTATTATAACTTCGCAGAAGCTGCGCTTAATTTTCATAACTATTATTATCCAAGTAACCGAATGTGTTAACTAAATTACTATTTTGTAAGATGATAATATTTGTGAAATGAAACAAGCATAAAAATGACACATTTTATTCTAGTAAATAAACGTTTGTTGGGTATCTTAAGTACTTATGAAAACTATTAATATTGTTTTGCTGTTCTATAACAGTAAAATACCAGAAGAATTAATTTCAGACAAATACACAACAGTAGATTTAAGGAAATAGTCACACTTGGCTTTTGTATACACTTTATATTTTTTGTAATTTTGGTCATAATTGTCTTAAATTCAATTTGTAATTGTTTAATTTGGTCTCACACTTTATCTCACAATTTCTAGTAATAATCTATAGAAATAGTGTAATAGCCACCATATTTGGAATGGAATTTGACATTTATCTGTATTTGAAGGGTCGTTATTTAAAATGTGATGTATTTCTTAACAAATAGTCGTCTTATGTTTTAATATTTAACTCTAAAATGGTGGAATGCAATTGCAAGTCGTGTAACATAAAAATTACAACTATTCAGGTGCATAAAATACAATATTTTTTAAATTTCTAATCAATAAGGTAGTTTATGAGGCCTAAACGATATTTAACTGATTTTTCAAATATATAGATGATTTAAGTGCAAACATTAATTCATTGAAATATATTTGTTTGAAAACAATAAAAGCATACATCTAATTTACATAAAAATCTTTACGTACATGACTGTATTAAAATAAAATATAATATAATAACTAAAACTACAAGAAAATCATAAGCACCCAAAACTAAAAAAAACTTAGATTAATTAAAATAAGGTCTAAATTAAAAGGACGGATATATTTACTGTATTCAGACTCTATATTGAGCCTTTTTAAAATCGTTTTTAAATTAATTGTTATACGGGCCATGATTGGTACGAATACAAAACATTTTAATTCATTTGTGTTAAAATTTGTAACCGGTAAATTAAAAAACAATGGAGAAATGGAACGTTTTTAGTAGCTGTCAGAATTCAAATCTCGATTAGAAATCCGAGTATAGTCAAACAAGGATGTCTAGCCCGGTGAGCGACGCTGCTATCGTTTCTGTCAAATCTACATGACATAGAAAATGACATAAAAAGAGGGCGCTAGTGAGCTATTACAATTTCCTTGCACTTTTCCAACCGGGTCAAGAAACTTATCGGTCTATATACAGTAAAATACATAAAATCTATTCCTTAAATGACAATAAAACATAACATTTTGTACCTTAAACTGGATTAACAGTGAAAAAATGGAATTCTTTACTAATAAAGCCTCCACAATTAACCCTGATTTGTACTTAAATCTAACAAAACACTGCAATATTTTAATAAACACAATTCGTAATTATTCCATCAATGTAAAACATAGTAGCAAAGATTTGCTTAACTGCCAGTAATTTCGGTGTAAATTTAAGTGCCTTAACACTTATTAGATTATATAGTTGTCTCTATTTTTTCAAAGGTATTGAAAGGGACGAAACACTGAAGTGTCCAAAAGTCTTAACCCAAAATATTAGAATTACAAAGAAATACAGATAATACACAATGGATACAAAAAAGCGAAGCTTAAAGTAGATGGAGCGAAGTATTTTTTTTTTAGTTTAATAAGAAATGTAATATGATTCGTATTGATATTTAGATTTTAATATCGTTACAAATATTGTAGTAAATATATATCGAAGTATACTTTTTTGAAATAAGTACATTATGTAGACAAAAATGCTGATTTAAAAATAAATATATCGTAGCAATTACGTGGATTTAAGCATCGTGTAAAAATTTTGTGCAACTTTTCCGTGTCACATAAATTACTTACAATCTAACCTCTTACAAATATAATATCAATTCAAAAGCACACAACACATTACATTTATAGGAATATATGAGATTACTTGTCACTTAACATATTAAATATAAAAATTTCGATTTAAAACATTTAAAAAGCATTCGAAATGTAGATAAAACATTTTTTTTATGAACTATTGATATACATATATGTAGGTATACCTATCGGCTCATAAAATATTAATCATACAAAATCTTAAACATTAAAAAAAAAACAATAAAATATACTCTCAAATAAATATTTTACTTTCGGTGGAATTTATATTACGAATGGTTTTTATGTAATTATATACAATTTATTAAATAGTTTTCCAATTTTTGTTAAAATAAGTAAAAATAAACCGAATAAAAATTTTTTAAAACAGTTACTCAAAACTTTTATCTGCTTCTGAACGAAAAAACCGTTATTTCAACTTCTATTTTTGAATTTGTACGCTGTTTTTCTACGGGAAGTAGGAGTGTGTTAATAGATTCATTCTTTAGTCTCCTGCTGGTTCTTATCGGTGTATACGATTTCTGCGTACTCAGTGGAGGGCGGCGGCGGTTTCTCGGCGTTCTGCTCGCCGAGCTGCAGTTCAGCGTACACTACGCCTTTCTTCTCTTCTGACAGGATCTGTGAAGGCATTTCAAAGAGTGCATAAAACCTTTTATTGTGTTTTACGGTAAATTTAAATCTATATTTTGTAATAAAAATTTCTCATTTCAATGATTGTTAGTAGAGTAAGACTTTTTTTTTAAATTAGTTATCGATTTTTACCTTATCGTCGTTGTCAGTGTTGGGTTCGGTGGCCTGCACGCGGTCGCGCGCGCGGGGCAGCGCGGCGCGCATACGAGCTCCTAGCGCGCTCAGTCGCGAGCGCTCGCGTCCACCCACCGCGCTCTCCGTGTCGCTACTGACCACATCACGTGTTTAAACGTCAAAATACTTTTTTTTAAAGACAAAGCCTATTTAGTACTAAGCCATAAGAGTGATGCGATGATAGTTTATAAAACTGTGTTTTATTATATGAATTTTGTACAATATACATACTTCCTGCATGAAAACACTTGTTAATGTTAGTAATCAAATAAATAAAATGTAACCAATAACCACATTATTATGTAAGAATTTAATTTTAAGCGCCAAGCATTATTTTACTAATAGCACTATTGGCGTTAAATTCTTAATACAGGAATATATGACGGCGAATTCAAATATACGCCTGAAAATTTTCCGTGTTTCGGTACATAACCTTCACGGTTTACGCCAATAGCACCCCCTAGTTTGTGAAGATTTTAAACGTACGTTCTAGAAGGTAGCGCCATCCCACGCTCTAAAAGCACATCCCCAGCCGGAGTCCTTACAGAAAGAAATACTTAGTTACAAATTTATACTTATAAAGCTTATAACCCAAGTTCTACGGTTAGCCACATAAATCTTAACATTATTTTGACACATAACCTAAAAATTAAGATACAGATAAGAGATTAAAATCCAGATGTCAAACTGTGAAAGTTTAGAAAATACCGTCTTCTCTCTCCTTTTACTTTCTTCTTCTTTTTGGATAGTTTATTAGATAATGTGTCAAAATATGTTTCAGGAGGTTTAGGACATGTATGTTTACTTTTACGAAAAACCCGTTTATTTACAAAACATTAAACTAAAATAAATACTCACGATTCTCCAGAGCTTTTTGTGTGGTCACGCACGCCGTTTCTCCCTGTAAAGATTATCATCATAATTTTATAAAACTTTTAACTAGTTCCAGTAAAAAGAAAAAAATAACTTTGTTTTTTTTTTATAGATCCTGCATTGTAACTGTGAGCATAATTCTAACCAATAAAACTAAAACATTCTTTTGTGAATGAAAACGGATAATGTTTTGAAATCCTTACAATCTAGGAAAGTACACTTTAATAAGACGATGCTCAAAGTGGTCCAAGTCCACTCCTTAACGTCAACAGTAAACGTAGCGGCGGTAATCGATGTTGTGGGATCTCAAGTTAATGACATACGAAATTCACTCATACCATTAAATATTTGATAGGGTTATACGAAAAAAGTTTGAGAATCTCTGGTTTAATGGAATTTTCTCTATATTTCTTTACAGTCAGACGTAGTGACAGTTATAAATGATACCTCGTCGTTGTACCGTGACTTCCGCTTTGGTGTAAAATGGAACCGCGGCGAACCTGAATTGATTTACCTTACCTTTGTGCCATTCTTTGGAATTTAAATAATGTAGCGAGGTTAATGTGGCAACACTTTTTTTAAAATAATATATCGTTTTCAATAAAGCCAGGTTCTTTCGCTCTTTATCTTAAAAAAAATTGAAAGATCAATCCATAGACAATAATGACCTGGGTCTTTGTGTTTGCTTTTATGTTTTAATTATAAATTTGACTAGTTGAAATTTTATACCTTTCTTTTAAGGACTTTCATAAATGAAACAAAGTATTATTTATTTAATAAATACGGTATATTCAATTATAATTCATTGTTATCCATTTAACGTTGAGATTTATAAACATTCATGTGAATTTTTCATCAATATTTGGACTAATTATTCAATAAGATTGGCATAAAAATCCTCAAACATTCTTATAATTGGATCTGATATATTTTAACATCCTTTGATACGAAATTGTCTAGTGCATAGCTTTGATTTAATAAGCTCTTTACATAAATCGACAGCAAATTAATTCAATTCACGATTTTTGAACGAATTTAAAACTATAATAAAAAGTCCGCCATATTGAAAAATGAACGAACACAGATAAAAGTTGCATTATGCCAATTATAAAGATGAGTAAAAAAGAAAATTTAGAATAATGATTCTACTATTAAAGGGACAAATTAATGGATACGGTTCTAAAAGAATTATAAATATTGAATACGCAGCTTACCTATATTTTTTTTACGATTTGAAATTTGAAAGTCATTACAATTAGTTATTAAAAATCTAAAATAATATTGAGCCTAATTTTCAAAGCTGTTCTTTTTTGGCAAAGTGCAAAATGGCAGTGTCTTTATATAATTGACAGAATCAAATTTTAAAACTATAAACATAGGCTGCTTAAAGTAAAGTGGTACAAAAAATAATCCTTACAAATTAATGTATATTTAGTTACAAAATACTAAAAAAATCACAATGAAGGTGACTTATCGAACTAAAGCTTAAAATATTGTTCATTGCTTTTTTACATAAAACGAGATTCAATTTGAAATCATACTTTCAGTTAGTTATTTTTGAGGTTATCATCCGACATTATATTTTAAAGTAAAAAACGAGTTTTTACAATGTTTTATATAATATTGTCACTTAAAAAAACTTAATGTAATAAGATGAAATTCTATTACAATTTATATACACAAAGAACTAAAAAGAATAAAATTATGGTGGTACGAACACAAACTTAACCTATAATTAAAATTAATTATGTACGGCCATTAATTACAAATAAGACAGATTAAAAAATGAACAAAATGCAGATAATATAACATTTTTTAAAAAGTCTATTGTATAAAAAACTTACATAAAATCGCAAGCAGTACGAGAAACATTTATATAAAATTCATAAATTCTAAGAATTAGTGTATAGTTCTTGTCTATGTCTATTTTAAGTAGCTGTATTGTTTATTGACTATACTTGTATATTTAGATACGGCCTAATCTTACATTTCACGTTGGGATTCGTTGTAATACAATATTGATATATGTTTTTAATTATGTCAACGAGATTCTTAATTTTATTTTCCACTACTAATACATCAAAAACATCATTATTCTAGAAGTACGAACGAATAAAAAGCCACACTTCTTTAGGGATAAATCATACGTTTTAACATTCTTATTTGCAAATACAGATGAAAAATCTTTTCATCACTAGAACACATGTAATGGCAACACTGATTTTTTTAAATTACAGGTTACGTATAAATAAGTATAGTCAAAGGACGAATGGCTTTTTCTTCGATCGTTGCGTAAACACTCTAAATGGTGGACAACATGAGAAAAAGACAATTTTTTTTAATATATTATGCACACCTATTTTAAAAAAAGCGGCAGTAATGCGAACAGTATATAGTTTATAGAGCATTTAAACTTTATAGCATTTAAGTATAATGAAAAACTTAGTTATAATTTTTCAGTCGTTACCAACATTTCAATAAGTAACAATTTAAAATCTGGCAATACTAAACCAATATATGCTCGAAACGTACTTGCTATCGTTTAAAACTGTCACTCAGAATTGGGAACTATATTTGGAAATGAATTTTAAAATGATATTAAATGAATAGTTCCGAAGTTGATGTCTGAGTGACAGATTCAACTTACGATTTAGACGGCGGTGTCTGGTTTCTTTTCGGGGTGTTTCGTGTCACCGTTGCTGATATACTCTCCGTGGTCGTGAGAGGGATTTTCGGAGCCCTTGACGTCATCGTGCGGGGGCAGAGGCGCCTCGGAATCCGCCCCGTCAGGGATGTCGGTGCGGTGCGACCGCCCTGCCACACAAATACGTTAAGCGATCAAGAGAACCCGTAAAACTGATTTGGAAGAAGCTATCTGCGTTAGCTACTCTTTGATTTGTGATTTTGTGATAGTGGTACACAGGCTGGAGTGGTTAAGCTGTTTTTTCATTAACGTGTTGAAGCAACCTTAGCCCGATAGCTTGGTATCTTTATTTATCATTGTTAATTAAAAGCATTATTAACTTTTTACACTTTTTGTTGATCATCAGCATTGGCAAAAGTCATTTATTTTTTAATCTTTTTAATTTGAAGATTTAAGAAGTGTCTACACATAAATTAACGTTTTCTGGCCTCATACATCCTTTCGTTTCGTTCGTTTTTTACCATAGGTTTTTAGTGTTTTTGGCGCCACTAGTGATGTACATGTGTATTAAGAGCACACTAGCGACACAATAAAAAAACTACTTAACTTTCAAACGTCTATATCAGTTTGATTTTTTTGGTTTTAAATGTTTTATTGACATAGTTTTAACGGATGTTTTGCCAGTTAATAATTTTTAATTAAATTATACTAATAACATATTGTATACATAGATTTGTTACAGATTCACTACTACTTTTTTTGAGTTATTTAGTTGCCTTTAAAAATACAGTTAGTTTCACATTTTAACCTCCACCACATAATAATTAATAAAACATTGACTAATAAAATAATAAACATTCAGTTAAAAACAAAAATTACTCTAGATTCTTAGTTTCTAGATACGTTTTATTAGTAAAGCTAAAAATTGAAATCTTAAAACAACATTCTCAGTTCATAGCATACAGAAATAAACTACATGCACTTTTCCAAACTTTAATGAAGTCATGCTTTTTAAGAAGTAAAATGAATATGAAATAAAGATGAGAAAGAAGATAGAAATAGAAGGAAAACCATTTACCATAGCGTGCTTAAAAACGACTTAGAAAATAAGTCATGCATATATCAAATTCAATTCAGATCATGTAGGGTTCTTGATCGCTTAATATATTGTTATGCAGGAAAAAATAACAAATTTTAACCTAATAACAACAATTTTATTCAACTTAAACATATACTACAATATAGGACAAGCACAAAGGACAATTTTGCAAAAAACACTGCCAAATTACACTTCTTATTTTCTAAATCTACAACAGCCAAACAAATTCTACGATATTAACGCATACACATGTATAGTCTACACAAACAGGGGAGCCAACATAAAAACTACTAGATTTATTGACGTTTTATTCGCGTCACTATTTTTAAATTCAAAACAAACCGTATTCGTAACCTAAAAATACATTTTATGGTTTATTTTATACTATAAGGGTTAAAATTTTGGTGTATAAACTTTTATATTTGGAATTTGTGTTAAGGCTTTTCTATAAAAAGTAACTTTGCTAAATAACATACTAAAATGTGTAAATATTAATCAGCGATTAATTTAGGCATTTGAAGTTTGTATTAAAATTGTACGTCTAATTAAATTTTCAATTTAAAATTGACAATAGCTACGTTATTAATAAAATTTATTTACGAGCACGGTTTGTAATTAGAGTATCGAGAACCATGTGTAAGCAAACGCCCACTCCATATTATTTTGATGATCACCGTGGATTTTCACTGACACCACAAAAACATATTCATCCCACTTAAAAGAATGCGATACGTTTTTGCGTTTTACCAGTAAAAACTCACGCTTATAAGCTGTAACACGTGATTGCTCTGTGATAGTGATCAAAATATATCTATTGTGGTTTACCTATCGACCAACTGCCCCTGACCCTGTTGGATATCCGTAATAATTAGTTTTGTCGACTCTTAATAGCATTAAAGGGCATGCCTAATGTACTCGACGGGGAATCAAGCGCAAGGAAGCACGTTCAAATACCAAAATGCATTGGGACAAGGCGAGCTATCGAATTACAATTACCGTCTTAAAAATTAATGGACAATTTACGATTAGTATTTGTATATTCGAATGTAATATCGATTGATTTTACATCGATAGCTGCCAATAATTTAGGATAGTGCGGTATCGATAAAATTAGAAATAACCAACCGCACAACCCTAAGTTTACGTTAGTTGTCAAACGAAATTGAGAGCGACAAGATAAATCTCATTCATGAATTTAAATGTTTACGGAAGCGGAAAATAAATATAACCATAGATTTTCACACGATTCCGTAAACAATATTTTAATGGAGCATTTAAAAAAAAAACTAACCTGCAAAACACCATCTGTCAGTTGCCTTTGCGAATACGACGAGGAAGATGGAGATGAGTAGGAATAGAACGGCGATCACTATCCCAACAATGGCTCCGGTCTCGAGTTCCACACCTGGATATGAAATACATCTTAGAAATTACTAAATTCCATAACTTCATTGACTCTGACGTTCACGAGCGTGCGGGCACCAGATACTAAACTATCGCACAACTGTTTAGTCGCGCTTTGATTCCTTTGAGCTTATATGGAGATGCGTACACTACTCGATTTTTAGTCGTGCAACTAAACAGTTGAATTAGCTGCGAAACAATCGAGAATCGCACAACAGTTGTGCGATGTAACTTGTTAAATCGAAGTCGATACTAAAAAAAACTTTAATTAATGTAGTATATACTTTTAAAATATAAACTTTTAATAACTAAAATAGCTTAACAATAAAACACAGATTAAAAATGCTAGCAATACTAAAATTTAAAAATACTAATAATGGACGGATATCGGGTTTTAAGGTTGTAAATTACAACTGCAGTTTTACTTAATTTTAAAGTCACAAAACAAAAGCAAGTAGCTTGTTATTAAAAAACATGATAGCAAAAAGTGTTTAGATCAAGCTGGTAAAAACATACACTAATTTAATAATGTAATAGTTGCTTTGTATGTCGGGGACAAGTCATGCAATAAAACATAGATTATTATTATTCCTAATTACATTATAATACTAGCATAACTAAATACATGATAATTAAAGCATGCTAAAAAATATTCTAAAAAACTTAAAATAATTTCATCGTTCTTTAAATCCTAGGAGAGCATTTATTACCATACAAAAATATTCACAAGCTGTAATATCGAATTTAAAATATAAATTATATCGAAGACATACTCATTCGTAATCTACCATTCTTAGAATTATATCTTACCATAAATATCGATTATCAAAAACGAAGCTTTACGCGCTGTGGAAATATAATAAAATATTTATATACCAAATATTGCGAAATTATCAATTTTTTCTAACCTATAAATATTTCACATGGGATTAAAAAAAAGCTAGGTGTAAATATGTGATAGTTGTTAGTGATAAAAACTCATTTGTATAGTAAGAAAACAAAACACAATCTATTTGTGACCCCTTTTGGAGTTGGTGGAAAGATGGCTTAAAACTAGACTTACCGGCAGGTTCGTCCATAGTGCTAAGACGCACGGAAAAGTCTTCGCGGCCCAAGTCATTGGCGACAGTCAAATAGTACGTACGGTCCACATCCTCCTTGGCTACTCGGGAGAGTACTAACGTCACATTATAGTAGCCACCACCCTATAAACAACCAAAATAAATAAATAAGGTTGCCTGTAAAAGATTGCTGATAACAATAACACCGCCCTTAAGAGGCTTAAATTGTCAGATAACAATCCAAGAAAAATGTGATAGAAATATCGGATTGTGGTACTCTATCTGACAGTGACGTCACTTTTATACGTACGCGTATATCAGCCATTGGTGGGACAGACCTTAAAGTATTCAACAGTTTGTCTAAAAGTATAAAATTTACCAAATGCACAGGCTCGAGAGCTTCAATGGAGGCGTCGTCGTTCTTCTGCGGCGCTGTCAGTTTAACATCTCCTACAGTCCACTCGGCGTGAGGGCGCGGGTTGGCGCGCACGGTCACGTTCAGCCGACCCTCCTCTGATATCTTCAGACCGAAGATCGTTATGCTGGAGCTATCGTCAAGGCGTTTCGGTGGGTCTGCAGAAATGATGTCGAGATTAAAAAAATGTAACCAGTATCAGTCTGATAAAGATACAGTCGTGGCATTTCGCGGTGTTCCACTTTAGGACCATTGACATGTTTCTTGCATCAAGACAACCTCAAATCAATTGTAAAAATAACCAATTAGGTTGCAGTGAGTTATTAATAAAGAGAAATTAGCCGTGTACCTCTCATCGACCTTTTTATGTCGACGAAGATTCAATGCATATAAATATATGAGAATACATTCTAACGATTGAAGCTTTTTAAGTGGAATACTAAAAAATTCCTCGATTGCACTTTCTTTCTTTCTATTATACTTACAGTTAACGAGCAGTTGCCTGCTAGCTTCTTTAGGCTTGTCAAGACTCTCGTGTTCGGCTCGGCAGACCAGTCGTTTGCCGCTGTCGTCCGCTGTCAGCGCCCTGCTCACGTTCTGACGGATTGTCTGCAGGTCGCTGCCCGGCTCAGAGCTCACTATAGGCTGGTGGGTACCCGCC